AAACCTCGGGACCGGGGAGTAGGGTGGCTGGTGAAGGGTATAGCCTTTGACCCCTGGCAAGCATAAGCAAAGAGGTTCCCACAGGACAGTGACCAGGTCTTAGGGAGACGGGGGTGGGGGGTGGTGGGCAGCCCTTAGGCAGCCCTTGAAGAAAGGAGGCTGGCCGGTGTGACAGGCCAGGGCTTGACCTAGGTGGGTGGCCTGGATCGTTCCACCCTTCATGTTTGGCCAGTCCTCTGGGTATATGGAAGCCTCAGATCGCCGCCCTTGCAGGAGGAGTTCTAGGGCCAGGGACCAGCACTGGGTGGCAACCCAGTCCATATACTAAAGAATGCGGGAGCAGAAGCAAGCTGCGGAAAAGCCCTGGCCAACAGCAGTCACACGGGGTAATCGTGCAATTCCAGGTGACAGATTCGATCTGCTTCCCTGTCTTTATCTTTTCCAGGGACAGCTCTCTAAGAGACCATTAAAAAAAAAAAAAAAAGAACTCAATTAAGTCTTCCCGGTAGAGCAGCGGCCTTAGAGTCTGCAAAACGTAAAGTGGTAGCAAAAAGGTGGTGTTTATATGGGCGTGGCACGGTTGCCAAGGAAGCCAGATCTTGCGTGTTGCGGAACAGAGAGCAAGGAAGGGGGGATGGGACCCTATTCTGTTGGGTCCAGCCAGCACCCATTTGTCCTGACTCGGCCATTTTTCTAATCGCGTCTAAATCAGAAAAAAAAAAAAGACTCTTTGGCTGTCCAGACCCGAGAGATTGCTTTCAGGCCTGAGAAGTTGGCCCTGTGGCAGCCGCTGAGCGCAGTCTACCACAGACACATCCTCACAGGTGCTGCGCCCTGCTGGGCAGGTCACGGAGCAAATCACAGCGTTCTTCTCCCGCAAGGGGAGAGACTCTGCAAATAGCCGGGGGGGGGGGGGGGGGGGCGAGGGGGCCGCCCGGGGGGGGAAGAGATACTAGCAGCCCGCACCGAGCGGGAACAAAGATAGCCAACCCGGTTCTCGATTCTCTGCAGTCAGGTAAGTATAATGAACAACAGAAAGATGTGAAAGAAAAAAGACTAAGGCAACAAGGAACACACGGACACTCGTCTTTAGGATTTTTCAGAAGACAAAGAGATAGGGTGCCTGGGTGGCTCAGTCGTTGAGCGTCTGCCTTCCGTTCAGGTCATGATCCCAGGGTCCTGGGATCGAGCCCCGCATCGGGCTCCTCGCTCAGTGGGAAGCCTGCTTCTCCCTCTCCCACTCCCCCTGCTTGTGTTCCTGCTCTCACTGTCTCTCTCTGTCAAATAAATAAATAAAATCTTTATAAAAAAAGGGAAGACAAAGAGATAAAAAAAAAAAACCCATGTTGTATCAAGGTAGAATCCGAAATTATAATTTTTACCGGTGAGTCTTGGGAAAAAAAGCGCATAAATTCAAGGATTCATAAAATGATAAAGGTATTCATTCATTCAGGCTAAGAAACTGAGGTACAAAAAGGAGTGACTGAAAGACATCTGATCTCTCTCAGGACTCAGGGACAACCATGATTTTTCAGAGAAACATTTATGTTTTTATGTGACAGACACTCTAAGTTACATGAATGTAATTGATTGTGCTTCCCTCTTTGAGCTGGCTGCTAGGAAGCTCAGAACCATATTTGTGTTCCATGTTATGTTGTGGTGTGTTACTTTCAGGACTAACAATATCCTCGATGCAGAGTCATTGAGAGGAACAGAAATAGTAACCAGGAAGGGAGGGGACTTCATTCAGGATAGCTGTTATTGTTGTTGACCAAAATTTTAAGAAGAAATTTTTCCTGATGGATTTATTACCTGCAGAAGGTAAAATGGCTTTATGTTCATGTCATTGAAATGTGGGGAGGAGTCATTGTAAAGTTTCTAATGAACCAGGCATGGTCAATGAAGATTCGTTCTATAACACCCCTCATGAGTAATTAAAGCAGGGCAAGATAACATTGATAGTCCCGATATTTAATGGGTCAACACTAAACCTTTCAGAATCTTATTTTTTTCACGTCCTATTGATCTTCCTTCTGGTTTCTTTCTTTAAAACAAAACAAAACAAAACGAAACACTTTCTGCTTCAAATATTTAAAAAATCACCCCAAATTTCCCTCTTGAAATAATTATATATTTTTAAAAAGCTTTTCAAGTAATCATCAATTGCTAGGCATTCTTCCTTTCTGTTCTGGTGGCTTCTCCCCAACTTCTTCAGCCATACAGTTAACTGGGTAGCCCCTGTTAACTCCCTGACTGAGTTCTGATTCACACAAACATACGTATGTGTACTGTGTAATTACAAAAGTAACGTAACGTAACGTAGTATCTATAATACGGTGTGTAATCAGTGTATGGCTGGCTCTCAGAAGACACAGAAGTTGGCAGGCTTCCTGCAGAAGAGCAGGTACCTGGACACTCGGTGCAGAGCGGAGGGGTGTTGGGAGGTTGGGGAGGCAGCGATGAGGCCCCATCAGAGTCGTCACTGGGCTTTTGGAGCGGGCCGCCCCCAGCTAGCCAGAACGTTTGTTCTCATTCTCCTTTCTTTGTGACCTAAGTTTCAGGGACCTTGTGTGCCTCACTCCGCAGCCTCTGTATCACATCTGTCTTGTGACTGTGGTCTCCCGGTCCGCATTGCAGCATGGTGCTAGATCTTAGGACCAAAGCAGACTCGAGGCAGGAATTTCCTAGTCACACTGCTGCTTCTGGATGAGACCTAAGGGGGGGCGGGCGGATTGCTAGCGGGGTCTGGGCAAAAGTGGATTAACAGCGCAGTTAGAGAAGCTTAAGCATCAGGGCTTCTCACTCTCATGCACTTCTTCTGAGTCCTATACCTAATTTTATATTCATAATTACATATTCTTTTCTTAAAGAGAGACCCCTCCAAATTTTGTAATTGTCAGAGTCCCATGAAACCGGTATCTGCCTCCGATTCTGGGGTTATATTTTTTGTTCCCTAATGAAAGTAGGAGACATACAAGAAGAAGCCACACCCTTTCTTCCTTTCTTTTCTGCTTTGGGATGACCTGAGGGTATGTGATGCTTGGGGCTGCAGCAGCCATCTTGTGACCCTGAAGAGAAAGCCAAAAGAACTGCAGAAGAGCTAACTCAGAGCCTTGGTACGATTGATGTGATTGAGCTGCTGGATGAACCAACCCTGGAACTGTCTACCTCCACTTCCAGTTATATGAGGTAAAAGTCTTTATTATTTAAGGCACATGGATTCAAGTTGTGTGTGACTTATAACCAAGAGCATCTTGCTGATACCCCCCCTGGTCCCCCACCACTGTGTTTTAGTCACTCACTGGAGAAATGTGCATCTCCTTGCTGGATGTGCTACTGCCAAGATTCTTACCTTCCAGAAAGCACTTAGAGCTAGAGCAGCTTTCCTGATGCCCATCCTACCCTACTGGAGGGTTCAGAGCCTCTCCCACGGGAATGGAGATGGCCTTTCATTAGTTGTGCAGTGTCTCTGGCTTTGCCACTCTTCCCACCTAAGACTACTTTCCCATAAATTACTCCAAATCACCTCAGTCGCCCTCCCCACCATGAACCAGCTTCTCAGTGCACTTGCTTTCAGCTAAATATGAGAAAGAGTAGATGCACATAATCATGCTAAGAAATGAGTGACAGGTAACTAGACTGGCCCTCTTCATCTCTTTGCTTTGAAAAGTCAAAGTCATTCCACCAGAATTTCCTAAACTGAGAAAGTTTCAAAACGTCAGCCCTTTTGAATGACTTGGGAAAGTTGGTTTTATGGAAATAGTCGTATAGACACCTACCCAAGTGACACAATTGACTGCTCGTGTGTTCAATGCAAAGCTGTGAGCAAATCACTGTACATGAAAATTCTGTGAGCCTGGAATAATCTCACTCCAGGCAAACATCGAACAGTGTGCTAAAGTGAAAAAAGAAGCAGGAGGAGGCAGAGGGACCTTCTTGGAAACTTGCAATCACATGGTGTAGAAGCCAAAGTCTGCCAATTCGATGGGCCCCACTTGGCCTCAGGACTGTGTAAACTGACAGCTCAGACTGGGTCTGTTCTGTTTCCTTGGTCACCAGATGCTTCTCTGTGAGAGCACACAGGAATGACTCAGTTCTCCTCGGTGACCAAATTTCCTGTCAAGGAACACTCATTTTTCCACACCTAGGTTCCTAGACTTCCTTCCATCCATTTGCCTGATGCGTATTTCTGCTGATCACCACCTGCCCTCTGTCTGGCAGATAAATGCTAGTCCTAGGCCTTAGACTTCATTGGCATCGACCGACGACCCCCATGTGCCAACACCTGCCATTCTCTTTCACCCTGCAGGCTGGTCTCTTTGCAAGCCATCTTCAAACTCGTGTCTATGATAAGCCCCGTCCTCTCCGCCAACTGATTCTAGATCGGCCTTGACCTCAGTTCCCCTGAAGGCCGGGGCCCTCCCTCCCACACTGGCCTGTGATCAGAAGTTGATCCAAGAGCCTGGCGAGCTTGCAGTCAAGGCAGGCGGGCAGGACCTGCTGAAGTCATTCGTGTGCGAGGCAATGAGGGTTTGGACCCCAAACGCAAGATAATCTCCTCTGCAAAATCAAGTTGGCTAACTGGGGAACGGGGATGGCTGGAGTTGTGTTTGCCAAACATTCCTCTTAGAGGTGAAAGCAAAGCGGAGCCTCTCCCTGATTTTCACTGCCCTGAAGCGATTGCTTTGGTTCACAGTAATTGTTGCACTTTAAACTGAATAGGTTACATTGTAAGCCTGGGTAATTGAGTTAAGGGCAGTTTGTTAACATAGCAAGTCTGGAGCCCCGAAGTCTAAACTGTGACGCTGGGTCCACGTCTATGGTGTGTGTCTACAAAGCCACCTGACCAAGTCTTTGGCGTCTCTAAAGGTGGAAGTGAGGCCATGAAGGACACTGAAGTGACAACAAAATCTTTTACGTGCAACAGCAGAGTAATTATTTACCTTTGGGTGTTTGATGGAATTTGTATAATGAACACATTGTCATAATTCTATAATTACCTCAGTTATGAACCATCCTTCATCAGCCACAAGGGTCAAAGGAGAGACAAATTTCCCTTTCTTGTAATAGAACCTGCTTGGTATGGCTTCTTTCTCGTAGATAGTCATGTGTTCCACTGTTCTCAGTTTGTTATATATCTGCAAAGACAAAAGAGTCACCAGTTTAGCATTCTCTTTCTTAACTATGTGTGAACATTTATTGCACCTGGAGGAGAGGGAGAACTTCACGGACCAAAGAAAGAAATGACCAAAACACCTGCTAGGTTTGACTACATAAGAATGAGAAACTTTTGTATGTCTCAGAAAACAAGGTGGCTTCATCTCGTAAGGCTGAAGATCCTCACACCCCATGATCTAATAAGGTAGCCCCTAGGGACCTAGCGGGAACCCTTCCCACTCGTGCACCGGGAGACACATAGAGGGATAGAGACTGCAGACTCAACAGCCCAAATGCCCAGCAACAGTGGAAGGGAGAGATGACTCGGGTGGTGGTTCTGTGGTGGGATACGATACAGCAGTGAAAAGAGGCGAATTACACCTAAACAGAACACCTGCAAGCATCGCAGGGCTCTGAGTTTGAGAAGCAAAATAAAGCAAGTTGCAGAAGAACACAGACAGGATTATTATTGTTGTTATTATTATGTGAAGTTCGAATAACTATAAAACTAAAGAACACATGATAAAATGATAAGGACAATTATGGAAATGATAACTTATAATTTAAGAGAGTCGCTTCCTTTGGGGGGCAGGAAATGTGGTGGGGTTTGGGAAGGATATACAGGAGATACCATTATCAGTGGTAATGTCCTACTTCTTAGATGTTTAGTAAATATAAGGCGTCCCTTTATACTTTTCAATATTTTATAATAATTTGCCTACTCAGTAGTTAATAAATTACAAAAGCTTGTATACATCAAAAATACTATAGTAAAATTAAAAGGCAAATGAGGAATTGGTCCACCTGCTGTTAAATGCCACTAAGACCAAAGGGAGAGGATTTGCTCTTGACCTCGAGCATGTCTTTCCTACACCTGAATCTTAAAAGTATCAGCAATTGTCTGCCATTCATTACACTACTAATTTCATGATGAGGGTGTAAGCTCTGTACATATTTCCAATATTTAGCAGCAGCTTAAATATTTATGGCTGACATTAAAATCAACTGGCTGATGTTGACTTGTTGGCCCTCAGCCAAATCAGACACATCTTCCTGGGTAGAACTGAATGTAAAATTGAGTTTTTCAACTCAGATCTGGAGAATAATTAGCCTTCAGGCTTTTTAGTAGAGAGTTTCTGATGACCCCACGAGTTATGATTTTCTACTTGAGAAAATCCATAGTTCTTAAGGAAAGTAGGATGCGTTTGCAGGAAGATTTTGGATACGTGAAGAATCTGATGACACATACCAGGTCTCACAAATGGTTGTGTCCGTCACATGACGAACTGTCACCCAAACACAGCCCCCACTCTTGAATAATCCACCAACTGCTTCAGCCGGCTTGCAACCGCCTGGCTTTCATGAACGTCATGCTGGAAGAAGCTCTTCCCAGCTCGTAAGCTGCTGATGCTCAAGCATTCTGGAGGCAGCACGTCCCTGAGCGCCAAGTTGGAAATGGCAGATGATCTTCCTTGCCAAGAAAACAGAACTTCTTTGCAAGAAACCACTTTCTGTGGGACCTGCCAATGTGTAGAGTATTCCTCCCGGCTCCATATTAAGGGATTTTATGGGGCTGCTGTACAAATGGTCAGCACCTCCACTTCCTGACCATGGAACTTGAGAAAAAGGGGCGTCCACCTAGGAAACGGGACAAGACTGGGGAGGAGTGGCGTTGTTGGCAACTGCGCTGCTCAACCTCCAAACAGACAGGTCTCAGACTTTTCTATGGGCAGGAGGAGGTCGAAAGGACCAGCGGAGAGACCCCGGCCTCCTGCACACAGTGTCCATCCATACCAAAGAGCGTCCATTGTCAACCACATCCTTGCTGCGAGGATAGGTGGAGGTGTCAGGCCCACCCTAGGCCAATTCCTGGGACCCTGGGGTTGGCACCTCCATGGGCAGCAGTCTGAACCTCCCCCAAGGAAGAGACCCGCTTCCTGGTCCAGAGCACGAAATTTTCTCTGGGAGCAGGCAGAAGCCCCAGAGCTTGCCCTGGAATGTGACGGGGCAACGTGGGGCAAAGCAGGTGGACAAAGATGCTGCTTGTTCCTCATTTTCCCATCATGATTTACTAAGTACTGCAGATAATTATAGTTTGGAGAGAAGCGTAAGTAAAGTCTAGCCATCTCAGAGTGCTGAGTTCCTGGAGGGCAGTGACAGTGGGGAGCACCCTCATGGGCACCCGCCCTGTGATGGTGATCATTGTAATAAGTGGCACATACATCGTCCTTGAGGTGGGCCCAGCATGCTTCTGTGGGCTTACCAGCAGGCCAGGAGGGCGGCTATGATGACATCGCCAACCGCATGGACTCAGAAGAAGCAGAGGGTCCGGGACAGGGAGCTCTGGGTTACCAGTCCATGATCAGGCTGGGATGTGCACCTAAGCAGCGTGCCTCCTCAGCTAGGGAGCTTGACCCATGGCACCCACGGCCTCAGCCCCTGTTCATTCATCACCTTCTTATCTCCAGTTCCCTGACGAAAACAGATCAGATGGGCAGCTTTGTTCCAGGGAAAGAGCATTCTCTGTATGCATCCGGTATCCCCCAGGTTTGCCTCAGAAGTGCCGCATTTGGGCCAATAATAAAATAGCCCTACTAAAGGGCTAAGAGCTTAACATGCTAAGCACCGCACATCCTTTATCTCATTTGATTTCCACTAACATCCCTGCAGTGGATACCATCATGCCTATTTCAGAGAAGAGAAGACAGACACAGGAGGATGAGCAGTTTGGCAGAGGTCAAGGGAGCAGCAAAGTAGGTCACGTGCCTCGGGAGGCTCAGCTCCGGCCCAGCTCTCTACTTCAGCGCTAAAGCCCCAGGGCAAAGACCGCGCGCAGAGTGATCATCCATCCGCCTCCCCCCATCATGGTGCTTCTTGCCTCAGAGTGTTTCCCAGGGGCTGGCCAGAGGCTCACGACGGGTCCTCGGTCCTTCACTTGCTCCAGGTCGTTCAGGCTGATGTACTTATTCAGCTCGATCACTTTGTCCATCCAGAAAATGTCAGTCATTCCATGATCTGAGAAGATGATGACATTGAGGTGGTCCTGCAGCTCCCGCTCCTGTGGGCGGACAAAAGCCGTCAGCGCGGTGCCCAGGCGGAGATGCGCTCACTCTGGAAGGTCTTGTAAACAAGCGTTTTAAACTGTAAGTTAGGGGGGAAAAGGATACTTCCTCAATCACAGACTTTTCTGCCCCTGTTGGGACATCACCACAGAAGCACTTCGAGGAGGGCGAGGTGAAAGCACATCCCCTTTCCAGTAGTGCTAGACATCATCCCTCCTGGGCTTGAGCCATTCAAGCTACTTTCTCTGTTCTCATTTCCTTCTGCTCTTTCAGCAGACATGTGTGGTAAGATGGGAGCTGTCCCTGACCCATTTTACAAACATGGGAAAATAAAGCCCAAGTAAATGCCCTTGAGAGTCATCCAGCAAGGGGGTGGGTGGCAGGATCAGGGACAGAACCCAGGTCTGGTCTCCATGCCCGCCTGAACCTGGTTCACAGACTTACTAGGTTTGGTAAAGAACGGGGCTATCCGGCCAGCTAAGCCAGGTAGGAATGCGAATCTGGTCATTTCAGTCCCGCTGGGCTGGTTGTAAAACAAGGGAGCTCCTGGTATCTGACGAGGGGTTGTGGGAAGAAAAGAGACCCACCCCAGCCTGGTGCTGACCTCGTCTGCTAACACCAGCAAGAAGGAAAATGCTGAAGGGTCATGACAACCAAGGAAACTGACAGCAAGTGACAAGAGGGAAGATCAGCTTCATGGTCCTTGGTTTCAGTTACCTGGATCCACTTGGTCATGTACTTCAGGACGGTGTCCACGGCTTTCAGGGCGTCTTTCCGCTGAGGCGACGAGGGGCCATAGTGGTGGCCTTCCACATCGATGCGCTCATAGTATATGGCGGCCAGGTCCGCCCGGCCACTCCTGGAGGGAGCAGAGTGAGAGAGACGCAGTTGAGGGAGGCCCTCACCGGCTTTCTCCCCCTCCACTCAGCAGTCCTCTGTGAAGGCACTGGCGTCCCCAGATCCCTGACCTGTGGGCCAGGCAAAGCTGACACCTTAAAATGATCACGGTGATCTCTAAGGGAGGAAACACGACTACGGCATCAAGGCATGCCAGTCCTGAGCACCTCAGTGCAACAGTCAGAGAGCTTGTTTATGGGACATCTCCCCTCCTGGCTCATGTGGCATCGCTCACTGTGCCCCAAGAGTTGGAATGGCTGGTAACAGGCAGAGGACAGTTCTCACAGCTCTACTCTACCACCGCTATTGTCGTAAGGTCAGAACAACTAGAAGCAATCCTTCAAATAACGACTTCGATTATTGTTGGACCTGAAGGAAGTGTCTAAATAAAACAGCAGGCTGCGTGTTTAACCCACTGGCAAGAAGAAGAGCAAGCTTTACCAGGGCAACCTGGGGGAGGCAAACAGGTTAGTGTTCAGCAGACACTTATTCTGTGGGGACATTTATTCTCTGAAGGGCCAGCTCCAGTGTGGACACAGAGTGAATTCTAACAGTGACCACACTTCCCTGGGTCCCAGGAAGATGCTGGTTCTGGAAAAACTCTCCTTCTTGGCCAGAGTACTGATAATACTGATGATGGCAGAGTACTAATAATCCAAGCCCTTGATGCCAGGCTAAGAATGACCAGGAACAAGTGATCTCCATTCGAATAGGAGGCCTGCAGAGTCAGGAAGGGAGAAAAAAATGCTGTGTAATGCACCTCCCTCCTTCACACAGTGCTCTCCACTGTCCCTCCCGCCCCAGCTCAAGCTTTGCCCATGACTCCTCCCAAAGCACCCGAGCTGAACATCATGATGATGACGATGTTAGTGGTGGGAGCCGTTATAGGCACTGACAAAAGTTGAAGCAATGCAAAAGAAATTACAGCTCATTCCTTTGCTTGGACTTTACAAGAGCTAATAGTTAATACTCTCGGTGGATTGCCTTATTTCTCTCGAAAAACTATATTTCAAAGGCACACACACACACAAAAGAGATGGCATGGTGTCTCCTGATGCGGCCGCCCCAACACTTGGAACATGAGCAATAGAAGAATGTGTGTCCTCAGAGCCTGCTCTGCCTTGGGTCTTGCAATCCACAGAGGAGGGAAAACTGCCTCCTGGTAGTTCAGAGAGGGTGGTTTGCACTGCCAGAGTTAAAAACAGCTCCTACTCATCCTCCAGGTTTCAGGGGAGATGGTGCCCCTTCCAGGAAGTTGGCTCTGATGCCCCAGGCTCTGCTGGGCAGCCCTCCGGGTGCTCCTGTGGCACTCTAGGCTCATCTCCTGGTAATGCTCTTCCATGCCGGGCTGCAGTGGCATGCTGATGTTCCTTCGCCCTCTCTAAGCTGTGAATTCTTTGTGGGGGATGGCGATTCATCCTCCACTATAGCTCAGTTGTAGCCTACTGCATTTGGCATACAGTTGGAGCTCTGTAACAGTTGAAAGTATACTAATAGTAAGTGCTCAATAAATGACAGTTGCTCTGGGTCAGGCACTATGTCGAAGGCTTTTCATTCATTATTTAATCCTCACAGCAACCCTTTAAGATAGGAATACATTGAACAGAAAGCTCAGTATAGTTGCCTGCCTCACACAGCCAGTGAGAGATGGCAACAGGACTCAAACCCACGTTGGGCTGACTCGAAAACCCCGACCACAATCACTAAAAACTCTACGGCCCACACCAATGGGGCAACATTCTGCTTAACCTTCTTATGGAAATGGTCCTTATTCTCTTATAAGACTCTTACCCTTCTTGATGGATAGCGCTCCATGTCTGTGGGTTAGGTATGTCTTGGGTTTCTGGAACTACTGTGGGAAGCGTCCCTATAGAAAAGCAACTGCACATTTTGCAGATGGGGAAGTAGGCCAGAAAGGATTCTCGGACTTGCTCAGGGTCTCACAGAGACATAGCTAGAACTGGAAACGTGAATCTCCAAGATCAGAATATTCTACCAGCCTGGGCTTTTGAAAGTCCGCACCTACCGCATTCACTACAGTGGGGCAGTTTTCGGGGGATATTCTGATTAGCATCTTCCTTCATTATGGTCATACTTGCCAAGAGGGCACTTCCTTTAATGATGCTGTGATGTTCTACTGTGTACCCTGAGGGGCATTTCATTTATGTTCTTGAGGGCACATTGGTTTCAAGTTAAGTGAAATTGCTAGTCAAGTGTTTTCTCTTTTTAGAACACAACAAACCGGCCCTTCTTTAACAAATACCACCCTCCTCCACAATGGGGACTGGGTTAGGTGTTTTTCAAAAGTGATATTATCATTATTCATACTCACTAATGTGTGAATGACTCATCCATCTATCCCACAGCAGAGAACAAAAAGTCACTGCAGGGGCCTGCAAGGGTGTGGGCGGTGGGGAAAAGTCCTCGCTCGGTAATGACACTTTCATACACATCTCTAAACTTTTGTGAGGCCCGTGTTCATTACACTGATAAACTAATGAACACAGTGGAAACTTCCATAAAATCTTTCCCTCAGATGAGCCTCAGCCTTTAGCTGCTTTATGCAGTTGCATCTGTAGCTCCCCAGATGTGTGGATTCATGCAGTGTGTCCTGTGTTCAAGTGTGCACACTTCCAGGGTGGGGCTTGCATGGGGGGGAAATTGCACAAACAGGCTGACCATCGCATTAAAGTTCAATGACATGCTTTTAGGTCACTGCATTGTAGATACTTCCCTTAACGCAGCAACCACTTGGCTGGTTTCTTTCAGGCTCTGCACCATATCCACAAATCTCTGTGTGATCAGGGAGCCCATATCACAGATTTACCTGATGGCTTTCTTTGAAGGAGCTGTCAACCCCAGGTGCCAGGAACACTGGATTTGGCATGCTGGCGATTCAGGGATTTATGCACGTGCCTTTGGAACAGACTTCTAGGTTGGAGTTTCGTCGATTCATTAGGGACCTGAGTCTTCAAGGGCTGAGCACTCTCGTCCCTGTTTGGAGTTTAGCGGACAGATTCTTGGTCGCCAGGTGTCTTCCACATGGATCTGGTCTCCATCACAGGTCAGCTCATTTGTAATGGAGTGGTTGGGTGAGGAGCGATGGGTGGAAATGCCTGCAGACCTGTGGTTGGCCATTTATAATTTATAGCTTTAGGGGTCCAGGAACTGAGCCAAAGGACATGTGGCTGTCAGCCCAGTACTTGAGAGCTGCAAGGAGCCCCCAGCCCCATGCTTTCAGGGATACCCAGGTCCCCCATCATCTTAGGATGTTGTCCAGACCTCTTTTCAGTGTAAAAGTTCATAACCTCACATCCATTTTCCTTACTGAAGTGAGTTGGAAAGAGAAGACTTAGGGAGAGAGAAATGGGGGGCAACTCAAAGGGATGGTTGAAGTTATCAGCTGTTAAGAAAAATGATCTAAAACTTAGAAATTAGGCCCAAAAAACAGCTGCCTGTCATTCCTGTGTCCTACAAGAACGGTGTCTGATAAACTTGCTTACAGGTCACCAGACCTTATGACCGACTTGAGCCCGGAATGTGTAAACTCAGCTGTTAACTTGTAGGGAACCAGTAAGATGAAGGTTATTTTTGCCTGATGGAGAAAGCAGTCCCAAAGATCACGGTCTGATTGTCCTCCAAGTCATGAAGCATTTCTGCATCTCACAATAATCGTATGCCATCGTCCTCCAACATTCTTTTCCTTCACGTGTATGTTTCTCATATTCTCTGTTTAACCAGCCTGGTCATCCCTGGATTCCCTCAGCAATAAAGGAATTTGAACCTCGGCATAATTCTCGTATACGTATGTAGTGAGCACATGACAGAGGCTTAATTTTGAAAATTATACATTGATAGGGCATTGGAATTAGACAAATCTGGGCTCAAAGATGTGAACCTTGCTATCCTGGAGGTCTCAGAAGGACAGCAGAAATATCCGGAAGCCTCAATGTACCGTGTGAAAAACCTCCACAGCGGGCTACACTGGGTATGAAATGAGCTGCTGTTTGTAAAGTGCCTGACCCACAGCAAAAGGGAGGCAAAGAGAAGGAGATGCCTTGCATCTCTCTCTTCCTTCCAGATGTGCCTAGATGGTTTTTGCCTGTGTGCTGAGCCCCTTCCCTCAGAGTCCATGGGGAGGGGAGGACGGACAAAGGCCAGGACATTTGCCCCAGCCACCCCGTGGTCTGTGGAAAGAACCATCTCGTCATCCATCCACTCCTTTATAGGCACCAGCAGCCACTGAGGTTCTGGGATCCTAAAAGAATTCCTTTGGAGCTGTTTTCTGTAACCTGGAGCTTGACAACAGACAGCAGCTGCGTCCACTGCTCCCGTGGCCCAGTTGTTACTTGACCAACCCGTTTGAGAGGCTTCATCAGCCTTCACCTGCACCTGGGAGCAGCCTCCTGGTGCCTCCAGGTGGTCAGGGTTGCATGCGGCTGTCAGCACGGCCACGCCCCCTTTCCTGCCCACCGAAGCATGACGATCCACAAACAGAACTTCCAGGAGGACGGATTAAGTGATGTGATCACAAACTGCTTTCTGTTGTGGCTGTGTGAGCAGGGGTGTTACCTCACTGTCCCTGTGTGCAGTGTCATGGTACATAGCGCGCCCATGGCTGGGGCTGTGTGCTGCTGAACACGTCAAGCAGTGAGCAGATCACAGAGGCTGCCAGTCCACCTCAGGCGCTCATGAGCCCCAGGCCCAGCACAGCCCCACAGGCTTGACTTGCGAAGGAGCCAACGCGCCCAGCCCCGTCCTGTCGGTCTGATTCGGTTTCAGGGCACCTCAGAGGTATGGGTGCAGACCAGGAGGAGAGCTGTGAAGTTGACTCTGAAGTGTCCAGGCACTTCTCTCTCAGACCTGGGCTCCGGCTCCACCACCTACTAGCTGTGTGCGACCTGAAACAAGGTGTTTAAATTTGGGAGCGGAGAAGGACTCTTTATAAGAGGACGACGACACACCTGTGTAATACAGTAACTGTAACAGCAGAATGGGTCAATGGTGATAGTGCCTTCGACACAATGCTAGCAGGTGGCTGTTGACATGAATTCTCTTCGCCTTCTCCTTTCTTCTACGCTGGAGGTTGTCTAGGTGCCGAGGTAGCATCTACCATGGATATGACTTGGGTCAGTAAAGCTTTATGAGCCCTGGATAGCAATGCCCAGATCAAACATGGAAATTAGACTAACCCTTCTACAAAACCATATGGCTTCTTGGCTGAGCTGGACCCTTTGCTGAAGTGTTGTCCGTAAGTCAATCTTAACTGCCTTCTTTTAAAAGCGTATCTATCCTGTATCCCATTCTCTCTGCCTCTCAGAATAATAGCAGAGTGGAAAAAGACACTCTATAAGTAGTATTGATCAGGAGAAATGCGTGTGTGTGCCCACATGCACATGCATGCCTGTGTTTGCACACTTGTGTGAACTCTAAGCACGCCTCAGATTATAGCTAGGAATTTGAGATAGAGCTGAGCAGAAACCAAGAGGTAAGCTATGGAGTCTAAAACTTGCTCCTTGTTTTGGGGCCATCCGATGGAAAGATAAATAATGAATACATCTTTGCCTAAATATACACACCAAGAGAATTCATAATTCCTTTGAGTCACATTCTTACATGAATAAGCTGCTACATGCGAAGTGGTCTTAACTGTGTTGGCCCACAAAGGTCAATCCTTTATTCTACTTTGTAAGAAGGTAATGAGACATGTTCTAAAAATGCATAGGTTAGGGGCGCTTGGGTGGCTCAGTCGGCTAAGGGTCCAGCTCTCGGTTTCGGCTCAGGTCATGACCTCAGGGAGGTGAGATCGAGCTCCGCATCGGGCTCTGCGCTGGGTGTGGAACCCACTTAAGATTCTCTCTCTCCCTCTCCCCCTGCTCCTCCCCGCCCCCACTCTAAATCAATCAATCTATCTATCTATCTGTAGAGGTTGTTTATAGAAGGTGCCTTTTTTTTCTTTGCAAGAGAGCCTAAATCATCTTACTGCTTTTCCACAGGCAGTCAGTATCATCTGGCCTATGGCTTTTCTTCTCTTTTTTGTCTCTGTCTCATTTCAAGCCCTAACTAGTTTTAGAAATGGTGGATCTCCATCTTTCCAACCAGTATTCACAGGGGATGTTTCTGGTGGCCCTGTTAGCTTTGACAGTATGAAGACCCCACAAGACAATTGCACTGGCCTGGTTCCATCCTGCCTAGGCCTTCACTGCCCAACTGCAGAAGCATCATTCACTGGTAGATTATGTGAATGTCATCCCCTGGAGTTCAAGGCCATTTATGTAGACTATAGTATGAATGGTGCCAATTGAACAATGTGGTGGCATCAGGTCACACCAGATAGAGGCCTAGCCTGGGGCCACTTTCCTGGGCCTCCAGTTCTTGGTAGCCTTTTCTGTCTAGGGGAGCCCAATGCCTTTGCTAAACACACATACACACAAAGATACACACACACATATACATACTACCACCTCACCTTCCACCACCAACCTCCCCCTTTCTAAATGCTGTGCTCTAAGGTAAAGATGTTATTCCCCAGTGTTCCAGAGCTCTGTCATGTTGCTTGAAAAGGGAAAAAGAAAAACTTCTCTAGAAACAGAGAAACAGAAACTTCTCTAGGAAACAGAGCCCAGCACTCATTCCTCTAGCATGCTGCTATACCTTAAGACAAGGGAGTCTGCTTGGATGGGCCAGCTTGCCAGCCCTGGCTAACCTGAGCTCTTGGGACCCTATGCCTCTCCACCTGTTGAATCACTGGGTTGTGTACAGTGAGTGACCATTCAATTCTCAAGGCAAGATGAATGTGAAAAAGATTACACTCCCAAATAGAGCGTTGCCATCACCACCCCAAACATTGTGGGGAGCAAGTCACCCCCACAGAACTGCACAAGGAGAAAATAACACCCCTCCCGCCGTTCCTTCTTGGAATAATTCCACTTCCATGAAATATTTGGAGGTATTTGTATGACAACTATGTTCTAAATGTTCATATTTAGCATGGCAATAGGTTGTAGGGGGGGCCAGCATTTTGGATATGTTGGAAACAGCACTGTATACACACAGAGCTATTCCAAAGTTCAAGCTCTGCTCATCTGCTGTGCGTGTGGTGCTCTTCAGCTTTGCACAAACTAGTTTGTAACACGATATTCTAGTTCATCATGTGTGTGTGGTTTTCCAGCACTTGTGGGCAAGGGAAAGAAAGCGGAGTAGGTAGGAGACAGGATCATATAACACACATGATTTACAAACCACATGTTGAAGATTATTTATTCAATAGTTAATAATATTTATTTAAAGTTCATTCCAGACCTTGTCCCTTCCCTCTTCCCTCCAGAAAAAAAAAAAATCTCAACTTTTAAATTTGTTACATCTCAGTTTTTAAGTATTTCAAACCTATTTCCTCTCCAATCTGTCAGAGCTTGAGCCTTCCTGTGCCTCAAAGGCCCATCTTGATGGGTTTCATGGAAGTGGAATTATTCCAAGAAGGAACGGAGGGAGGGGTGTTATTTTCTCCTTGTGCAGTTCTGTGGGGGTGACTTGCTCCCCACAATGTTTGGGGTGGTGATGGCAAGAATGGGATTCATAATTGGTCGGCTCTATATCTGGGGCAATCTTAGCTGTAGGCCAATTCTTGTGGTTATTGCTGGCGAGTAGTACACAGTGCCTGTGATATGGTGGCCCTCGGAGGCTGCCCAGCTTGAAAACAGGCTCTTTCTCCTGGGAGGATAACAGTCCTTCCCTGATCTCCAAACTGATGACTATAGGTCTTCTGCCTTGACCCTACCCAGGAGATCCACTCAGTAGCCAAGGTGACCTTGGCAAATCCAGCCCTGGAAATGTGAGAGCCCCCAACATCTTTAGCTTCTTGGTTGCTAATTACTCAGGTAGACCCCAGCTGGTCTCGCATCTTGATTTCCACATCTAGCAACTTCTGAGACTACCTTGAGGCTTTCCCCTGACCTTTCTTGTTGACCAGTTTCTCTGACAGACTCTCGTGTGCTATTTAAGACACCATTAATGATTTCTGCATTTTTAAAGTTCTGTGTCATTACTCCATGTGGGAGGAAGAAAAAGGTTCTATGTTCTAATATGCTAACGTGCTTCATACATTACCAAGAAGAAGGTAGAGTAGGCAATTTTTTCAAAGTTACTTCACCACAGATCCCCCCTTCTTGCCAAATAATAACATTTTCTGAAATACAAGCATTCTCAAAATTTTAATTAGAGAGATGTTGACATTCATATTGCTTCTCTATTGTCCATCAACATAAAGAAGAAAGTCCCAAACACTTGAGGACTTTCTTGCTCTCCAACATTTACAGAGAGTGCCCCTACCTGAAATGACTCACTCACAATTATTCTCTGGTAGCAGTTAACAGTCATCATGCAAGAGACTAATCATATCTCTGAGACATTATTCCACCTGTACCAAGCCTTCTTAATTCACTTTAGCATTCATTATTGGTCCTGGAAACAATGAAGAACAATGGTATGACCAAAACCTTGGGACACTTACTTGAGGGAGTCAAGAGCATCGCTGACTGCATTGGCAAAATTGATATCCGTTGGGACGTTTTTATATTCTAGGCAGTAAGTAGGTCTGACCCCAAGAATCTCAACCTCACAGCCTGAGAATGAAAAAGATGGTAAATGGTTACTTTCTTTAATAATTAAGGTAGGTTTTTGAGCTTATTTCAGGAAGCAAACACCATAAGTCAAAATAAAAATCTTTGTTCATTTTCATGAAATAAAAGAACTGACTACTGATAGGTGGTATATTTAACTGTAATTTTGCTTAACTGGAGCAGAGGTTCTCAAATGTCATTCCTATACAACGCTGGCGTCCCATGATAGGGACTAGCAAAAATTGGTTAATGTTTGTCTTTTCCAATTTGAAACAAAATTAATTCATACACAGAAAGGTCTCAATTAAAACCTTCTCCCATAGATTTTTCATAACTGCTAAGTCTTCTAGTGTGTCTTTGTCTATTCTAAAATCAAGTATTAGGTAGTATCTGATTAGTCCTGGAATAATAAAATAAAAATTTCAGTAGCCTAACTGAACTAAGAAATGCCACACTAAATTAGCAAGCCTAAAAATCACTGACTTAAAGCAGGGATTCTGAGACATGACTTTGCTTTTCCCAAAATGAAGTAAAATAATTTTTTAAAGGATTTTATTTATTTATTTTAGACAGAGAGAACACGAGAGTTGGGGGTGGGGGTGGGGCACAGAAGAGCAGAGGGAGAGAGACAATCAGACTCCGTGTTGACTGCAGCGCCAGACATGGGGCTTGATCCCATGAGCCTGAGATCATGACCTGAGCCACAATCAAGAGTCAGAGGCCCAACCAACTGAGCTTCCCAGGTGCCCCAAAAGGAAGTAAAAGAATTAAGGGCATTCAGATGTTAGGAGCTGCTATGGCCTCAGCTTCACTGCCCCAGGCCCCTGGACAAGTAGAAGTAGTTGCTCTGAGGAAGAGACACCCAAACTTATTACCAAAATGTAGGGCAGAAGAGGTATGAGCAAGTCTCAGTTTAAGTTAGTTGACTATTATTGGGCACCTACTATGAACCAGTCACTGTGTTCAGACATAGTGGAAACAAAAATGTGTCAGTCAGGGTCTTTATCCTGGAGCATCCCAGAATTTAGTCTAGTGGGAGGAGACATTTGGGAAAAAATTGTAATATGTGAAGTCTAAAATGAGGTGCACACTTACTGGTGTGGGAACTCAGATGAGGGACATTTACTTGAGGGATTATTTCTTCCTGGAAGCCTTCCTTGAATCCCCAGGTTGGGCTCAGTCTTATAGACTGCATTTGGCCAATGTGCCAGGGGATGGAGGTGGGGAAGGAAGGGACATCCCAAGCAAAGAGAGAAGCAGAAGCAAAAGTTCAGAGATGAAAAACAACAAGGTTAGTGTGGGGAACTATACACAAAATAAAGCTCTGGACAAGGAGTGTCAGGAGACAAGATGGTGAGCATTCTTATAGCCCAGGAAAAATGATTTCTCAAGGTAGAGGTAAGTAAAGTGGAACAAGTTGGGAGTAAGCAGGAAAGGAACGTCTCTGTCAGGAAACGAATTAACCCCACTCCTGGGTATATCTGCTAGTCTGTTACAGCTCATTTATAAGAAGGTGGGGCAGCCTCCAAGAATTCCTTACTCCAGCATACCATAGCAAATCTGAGTGCTCCGTTGAAGAGTCCATCTCTCTGTGCCTGGTATCTTGGGAGAGCAAGGGCTATCTAGGACAATTAAGATAGGCCTAGAAGGCAGGCAGCTCCCCTTCCAAGGCTTGTTTGTTGAGAAGGATGATTAGGCTAGATGACCCAAGAGGAAATCCTGCCCATGAGTTCTTGCAGAAAATTCATTATGGTAAGAAATGCCAGTGGGATCTTGACTGGTTATAGCACTTTACATATTTGTGTTTTATCTGTTGAAGGTAATTTGTGAATGTTTATTGGTCTTGCAAAGCTGTTTATTCAACAATGTATGAAGACCATTCTCTGTATCTACTCTGTGCTCAGTGTCAGCATTCAGAAGCAAGTAAGACACTGCCTATCCTTTAAAACGTTAGCAGCCTTATACAGTGCGGTCAGGTATCTTCTGGCATATCTGATACATGGGTATTATGAGTTTGCAAGTAATGGAATTTTGATCATGGTTTTGGCAGGTAAAAGAAACTGCACACTTTTTTATGTTTGCACATTAATATCAATTAGTATTTTTGTGTACTAAATAAGAATTATGTTTGTTAATATTATCAGTCATATATTCTCTTAATCCTCTTCTTGAATTAAAATGAATCTGGACTTAACACTGGCATAGCAACATAAATCACCTGAGAAATTTACCCTTTCCTCAAGTTAAAGGAGGATACAAACAACTTTTTATTGATTAGTTACATGTAGAATTCTATAGTAAAGTTAGAGAGAACATGTGGCAAAGTAGATCCATTTTTTATTTCTGTTTTTTATTCTTAAAAATTACAAAGAATTTTAACTCATTCCAGAACCATAGCAGCATTTTCTAAAGGCTACGGGTAGGACAGAAGAACTCAGAGAAATTTCCCTCAAGTACACAAACCCTCCACTGAGTGCAAGGCAACAGCTCATCAAAGGCTAGGGACAGAACATGAAAGGGGAAAGAGATCTTCCCAGCTGCAGAAAGTTGAGGACAATGCTTGAGAGAAAAAGACCTCAGTGATTCAAAAAGTAGGCAACATAAAATTTCCATGTGAAGAACAGAGAGTTCTCCACTGGACAAATTCCAAGACCTGATAAAGGGATAATCCTTATCTTCCCTCATGACATTTGAAACCAGTGGCAAAGTAAATCTAACTAAAGCTTCAAAAAACCCCAGACCCGGCTCAACTACAGATTAGACTGACTTAGCCTCCACCCTAAAGGCCTGACATAGGAAGAGGCATGAATTTTTCTCAGGGTAAATATCATTTGTTACACTCTCTTCTGTTCTTTTTCAGATAATGTTCGGCATATAATAAAAAATCATGAGATGTACTAAGAAGCAATAAAATATGCCTCATAATTAAGAGAAAAATATTCAACAGAGCCAGATCCACAGATGACACAAATGTTGGCCAGAAAGGGTAAACATAAAAGAAATTTCTTTAAGAGATCACTGACTGTTTAAAGCAAAATTAAAAGCAATATACTATGGGGTTTACAATATATATATATATATAAGTAAAATAGATGACAATAAGAATATAAGGAATGTATAAGTGGACAAGTGGCATTATAAAATTTAAAAATTCTAACTTCATTGTGAAATAATATAATATTAATTCAGGGTAGAACATGAATAAGTTAAGGATGTATGTTGGTATGTCTAGAGTAACCATTAAAGAAAAAAAAAACAATAAAATCTGAAATCAATAGAGAAAATATAACAAAATTCTAAAAGCATTCAATTAATGGAAAAGAATATAGGAAATGAGCAACAGAGAAAAAAAACAGTTAAGACAAATTAAAAAATAATACAAAGATGGTAGGCTTAAACCCAACCATACCAATAGTTACTAAATACTATCAAATGTAAATGAACTAAATACTTTATTTAAAAGGCAGAGATAGTCAGACTGGATAAAAAATTAAGACCCAAATATATACTATCTATAAGAGAAAAAATTTAAAATATAAATACACTGGTTAAAAAGAAAGGGATGAAAAAAAGTTACATCATGCAACAATAAATATAAGCAGTTGATATGGTATCAAAATAGATTTTTATGAAATACTAAATGATAGTGAAGATGAGAAACTAAAATAATTTATAATTTTCTGGTGGGAGAATAAAATGATATGGTCACTTTATAAAATTGTTCATCAGTTTCCTATAAAGTCAAATATACATTACCCAAAGAACCAACAATTTTGCCCCCTAGGTATTTACACAAGAGGAATGAAAACATATGTCCTCAAAAAGACTTGTACAAAAATGTTCATAGTAGCCTTAGTTGTAATAGCTCCAAATTGGAAATAACCGAAATATACATAAATATGAGAATGGAAAAACAATACTTGATATATTTATGCTATGAAATACTACTCAACAGTGAAAAACAGTAAGCTACTGATACATGCCACACAGGGAGTGTAACTCAAAAATCTTACAATGAGTAGAAGAAGGCAGACACAGAAGAATATATATGGTGTGATTCCATTTATATGAAGCCTGAGGATAGACAAAATGAATCTATAATAATACAAATAAGAAAACATTTGCTTCTGGGGACAGGGAGTAGCTGACTGAAAGGAAGAATGACTATGGGAAAATGTTTTATCTTGATTTGGGTGGTAGTTACAGAGATGCATGCAATTTTAAAAAATGCACCAAGTGCTACTCTTATGATCTATCCATTTTATTGTATGTACAGCAGCCATCTTGAAACCATGGGGTAACAGATGTGAAGATAAAAAGTAAATATGCTAAAATGTAGCCAAAGGGTATAACAAGCTTGGTTTTTTTTTTCAGGTTTATGTCCTTTTTTTTTTTATGTTATATTAGTCACCATACAGTACATCATTAGTTTTTGATGTAGTGTTCCATGATTCATTGTTAGCGTATAACACCCAGTGCTCCATGCAATATGTGCCCTCCTTAATACCCATCCCCCCACCACCTCCCCTCTAAAACCGTCAGTTTGTTTCTTGGAGTCCATAGTCTCTCATGGTTCATCTCCCCTCCAATGAGGTTGTTAAGCAGATGAACCCCATAAAGTACTTCTTGTGATGCAGATAAATTCCTATATGTGTATCCATTGTTCACTATTAGCTAGATTTTCTATTACTTGCAGCAGACAATTCCTAACTGATTCAGAGGGATTGTGGTTGACTTTTAATTCTTACTATTGTTTATTGAATTGAACCAAGTTTACTAAAATAAATGTTATTTTTGTGATAGGAAACCAAAATGTACAAAAGTCCTATTGTATTACTGTTCAGTTTAAAATTTTTAAATAATGCGGACTTAAACATTCTTTTTTTAATTTATTTTTTATTATTATGTTAAACACCATACATTACATCATTAGTTTTTGATGTAGTGTTCCATGATTCATTGTTTGTGCATAACACCCAGTGCTCCATGCAGAACGTGCCCTC